TTAAAGGTATAAAAAGTATACACGTTTAACTTTCTGTAAGAGCTTTCTTCACCATTTTAGATCACGTTTTAAAGTTCAGTGCCTGCCTAGGCATAGGCATTTTTGCATGCGGCGCATGGTTGCATTTTTTGGGCTTACCAGGGAGTTGAAGCAGAAGGAGGAGTTAAGGTGAGCTGGGGGAGAGGGACGAGACTGCACTGCATGTAGGCGAGAGTTGCTGACTCCGAGGAGGAGCACAAAGAGCACAAGAAGGAGAAGGAGCAGTAGCAGTGAGCAGAGGGGTAGGTACTAGGAGGTTCAGGCCGAGTCGACGGCATGATAAACGTGCTGCCAATAAATTACACTGCGTCAAGGCAACGGCTCTGGCTCCTGCTTCCTGGATCCTGTATCCAGGATCCCGGCTCCTGGTTCCTGGCTCTTGGCGGAGAGGCGCCGCTGCACATTTTTGCTGCCGTACCATTTAAAATTTACTACAATTTTCTTTTGGCTTTCACGTGCGCACCCCGCTCATACGGTAAACAATTTGAATGCTTTGGCAGGCAGAACACGTAGACGAGAAGCAGCCAGGACGCTTTTGGAGGCGAACCACTTTTTGGGGATGTCTCTTTTCCCCAGCAAACTATCTTGCCGATGGCGATAGCATAGTGACACGACCGAGCTGGGGATCGTCTTGATTAGCCAATAAATATGTGGCTTTACTCACGACCACTTTACAGTCTTCAAGGTTCTAAAATATAAACAAACGTACTTTTTAAGTTATTCCATTTCTAGTTACGTTTTCATTTAATCTATAATTCTGAACTGTATATTAAATATTCAATACAAGTAAAGTACTTGCCCTCTCCCTTCAAAGTACCTTTTCGAGGAAGTAGAAAAAAAATAAACTGAGCTTCGACCCCTTCCAGAGCATTGATTGATGGCAGAACAAGATTAATCAAGGACGAATGAATATTTTAAAAATCCCTTTCACGCTCCCTTTTTAATATTGATAGTTCAACAGCTTCCCACGTTGTCTGACTCTAATCGGAGCGTGCTGGGAACCATGGAGCCCTCATCTCTACCCACATAAGCTGGGGTTCTTAGTTAGGGGCGGGATTTTCCCAATCCCGCTGCTCCCCTCACGTGCAGCAACAGGACAATCGTAGCGTAAAAAGTTTGCTCTTTGTTCCCGTAACCCTAACTATGCTTACTCAATCCGCTGCTCCCCTGCACTCCTACCAAACCATCGTTATAGCCATTTGCAATGCAAACACTGGCAGGAAAAAGGAGATGAAGGATGCAGGATGCAGGGCCACCAGACCACCTCGTTTGCCATCCCATGGAAGCCGGGCACGCATCTAGCATTGTGTAATATGCTCTGCGATTTATGTTTGCACTAAGCCGGAGGACACTGAAGAGGGGAACAGGCAGCCACTCGCATACTGAGCAAGACTCGAAACCAAAAACGAAAGAACATAAATTGAAATGTTCTTAGCAGAAAAAATATTGAAATCATATTTGGGGCAAGTGCATGAGCATGGAACAGACGCACTTGACTTCAGACTGCGAACTCCCTGTCGGTGGGATTCCGGATTCAAGTGGTCCAACCTTCCCCCCCTCACACAAACATCACACAACTCACAAATGACAAACATCATGAGGAGTTCAGCAAAAAAAAAAATGTGAAGACATGCAAAAACCGACTAAAGGATACCTTTTGCAACTTCCTTGAAATTGAAGTAAGGCTTAAAAAAATGAAAAGTTTAGCAGCAAAAAAGTTAAAGGTAAAGTCTCTTCTCATATACTGCAAAACTGTTTTATATAGCTTCATTGACTTCCATTAACTAAGACTCAAGGATATGAAAACCTATACAAAGGAACTGAAAGGATCAAGGATTAACATGGTATGCTTATATGCCCTAAAAGCCTTCGACTAATGGGTATGGAAAGAAAATATGAAATCGAAAAAAATCGAATAGAAGATTTTCCCATTCTTTTGTGTAACCTAGCAAAAGGACTTTGGTAGCAGAAAAGACGAAAACATGAATTTAGATCCAATAAAGTTTTGACTGGCAGAACAATGGAGTTTAATAGATGAATCAAGACACGCCTTTGAGGAGAGTACAAGAAGTCAATTCAATTGTCTGGCAGCCGCATATAAAATCGTTTTATGTATATTTTAGCTGCTTTTATTTCTACACTCCACTTTATGGCTTAATACAATTTTTATGTTCTGGCCATTTTGGAGAGTCAACGGTGGGATCTAAAGAGCAAAACTGGGATGATGACGGGACACGCGACCAATAAAAAGCCAAAACATTTCCGGAAAATTGGCCAACTTGTTGGTGGGGAGGCTCGTTGTTGGTAGGGAATGTCACCTGTTTGGGTTTTTCTGGCTTTCCTCACCTGTTTAGCGAGGATATAAAATGGTTTTATGTGCGGGTCTGGGCCCAGTTTAATGCTAATCGCCTTCTTCATACGTTGTAAGCGCTCGTAAAGGCACTTCAACTTTTTCTCATTATTAGCGCTGTTTAAGAAAGTGAGCTGCGGGAAAAGTTTACTAAAGTAAACTCGAGGGGAAAGCCATTTCAATAATATAAAATTTGTTGAGTCAATTATCAGTTTTATTATGGACTTTACAGAGAGAAGTTTTCCCAAGCCAAAGGAAGGCAATCAATCTAAAATTTGTGTGCGTTTAAATTCAAGAGTTTCTCAATAATAATTACCATGTATTACAACCGAAACTGTTTTAATCACAGTTAGCATTTGGTAACTATAGTGTTATTATACCATTATGTACACACCTTGTAAATATTAAACTTAATACTTCAGATTTGAATTTGGTTTTTGTCAATGCCAAGCAACCTATGAACTGCAGCAATTATTCGGTGGACTTAAATCAAAACCCTGGAATTATCAGCACACAAATAAACAAGGTTTGAATTTCATAATTGCATTAACATTAATGTGCAGTTTGCCGCAAACAATAGATCCCAGCATCTTCTTCAACGACCAACAGAAATTTGCTCCTTGCTTCGAGCAACAGGAAATTGGTTAAGTTAGGTGGGCGAAGGAGTAACAGGATTTTGGGGCTGAGGGCCAGTAAACAAGGGTATTAGTGTTCATTAATTAAGCAAACATAAATATATAGTAGTAGTGTATGCGAAAATTTGCAGTAGTTTAATCAGACAGGCGACTTGAAAGGAAATTTGTGGGTGGCCGGATGGCCACATGGCGTATGAGTAATCCTGTTTATTGGATCGCTCAAACCATTTTGAATTGCATTTTATCATTGGAACTGCATCAACAATTTTCCCATTCTAAACATAAATTAGGATTTAAGCATATAGCAACTGATTGCCAAGGAGCTTCGTGGTGATAATTAGGCTTTGGTTCTGGCCTGCTTTTCCCCCAAATCCCCGTTCATAAAACCGACATACGTTGAAAATGGCAGGCAGATAGGTAAATGCTTATTTATTTGCACATTATTAAAGATTTGATTTTAGTATTCATTTGCAGTTTTAGTTGAGGCTTAGCTTGGGACAATAATGCTGCACTTTCTGAATAAAACAGCAGAAGATAAAAATATAATTTAATCTGAAAATTCCCTTGATCATCTTTAACTACAGGTTGAATTTAATCAAAGCATTCAGTCCTGCAAACAATACTGGGTTGCCAATCCTGAAGCTCATATTTATTCACCGATGACAGCCAAGGAGGATGTACTAATTGCACATCATGTAAGACCTCCTTCCCATTTCCACACTCCCTAAACTTATCAATATGCATGACGAGCATTTTGACAAGATTTTTAGGGCTCGTCATTTGCATTTTACATACTTAATTGTTTTCCCATTACAGGCAGCAGCCGAGAGGCTGCCTGAGCTTCATTAGCACCAGGACACATGAGGCCGCCTTGACTTTCCGTCGCCCCTTCTTTGTCCTTCGCCTAAAAGTCAGAACGATTAATGTCAACTTGCTTAATAGCATTCCTTTTGCCTCATCACGAAAAGCGGCTCACCGAACTTAAAGCCTTCTCCGAGAGATGGGGAAATTACTCGATCCCGTATCCCCGCCCAGCCTCCTTTTTGGGGCCAAACTGAAGGCTCAACATGTCATGTCACTTTTGCGGATGTCGAGAGAGAGAGTGAGAGAGGGGGAAGCTGCGGTTGTTCGCGTGATGAATTACACACTCGCCGAAGGACACGATGATGAAGTGCCTGTCATTCGGAGGCTGAAAGAATGCCCAACTGCCTGTCCATCTGCCGGTCCGTCCGCCTATCCGTCCGCCCGGCAGTCTGTCAGCTTGTCAGTTCGTCAAGCTTCGCTTGGCAGCTGCTCGTATTGTTGTAAGCCATTTGCATAGAGCGTCTTCCGCATAATTTATCGACACTTGAGCAAAACTTTAATTACTCCCCAGCCCCGAGGGCCAAAACATTTTTCGCCTAGTAATGTGCCTGGGGGAAAAGCTCTGTGCCGGAATGTGGGACGGATTTCCACCATGTGAATTTCTGCATATGGGGGGGAATTCTCGAAAAGCCAGTGTCCTTTGTCTGCGAAATTCAATGCGTGTTTCCAGTATATCCTTTGGCCAAACATAGCACACATATTGCACAGGATTTGGTAATGGGTTTGGGTAGTTTTCTGATAGCCGACTGTGGACTTTTCCCCCCACTGCTACGCTCCTGCCTAATGGCCTTTAATTGAGCGCTGGGAAAACGTTCAAGTGTTTGCGGCTGTTGAAAAATTTTTGGGAAATTCGATATTGAAAATAAAGTGGCTGTAATGCTCCGCTTGGCCCAACTCAACCAAAAACCGGATTGCCTAAGGATTTGGCGTTTGAGTTTGCCGCCCAGGATTTGTTTGCTGATTGGGATAATGTGGGTATTGTGTAATAAGTGCCTTGTACTTGCAGAATTATGGCTGAGTGGAAAAGTGCCTTGGATTATGTTTCGCTTTGGAAAGACACCCACTTGAAGTGGCTTACTCATCTTGCTTACTCAATAAAAACTTACTGAAAATTCTTGTACAGCCAAAACATTTTTATTGCCAATGAAATAGATTCTCTCCCTTTGCAAGTTACAAACTAAAACTGAACTCTTTTACGGCAAAATGCAATCGCAGATACGCTGACAGAGCCTTCTCCGTAGATTCTCGACACGTTGGAGCAACTTGCAGTTATCCTTGCTGTCATTGGTGACGGAGAGGAGCTTCTGTAGATTCTGGACGGCACCAAGGGAATCGCAGTGATCGGCGAGTCGAGGATTTCGGCAAAAGAATTTAGTGCAGTAAATGGGATCGCAGTTATGCCTGGGTGCCCGGTTTTCCGGTCCATTTCGGCACTGGATATAGTCACGGTGGCGCATTTGCTTGTAATATGCACGCAGCTGGCGCATCTTCTCGGCCTGCCTCATGTCCCTCATGAAGGGAGCTTCGGGTTCCATATAATTGCGATCCATAAAATGGCAGATCGCACACTTGCAACCTGGCGGTGGACAGGGATCGCAGGGCTTTCTGCCTTCACCCTTGTCCTTGTCCTCATTTTGAACTTTCGTCTTAACCTTTTTCCTTTTCTTCTTTGAAGGCTTGGATGGTATTGGGGGATGGAGCTTGTCCCATTCCTTCAAGAAATCCGTTTCACTTCCAGTTACTGTTGGCTTTTCACTGGGTTTCTCTGAGTAGTTGTCCCACATAACATCCGGTACTGCACTGGGTCTTCCTTTGTCGGAGAACACTGAGGATCCTCTTGGTTTCTTCTTTTTGGATTTCTCTTTTTCCTCTTCGTCCATGAAGTCCTTCTTGGCTGTATTTTTGCTTTTATCATTTTTATCTTTTGTATTTTGTTTGTCTTTTTGGGCTTTTTCTTTATTTTTATCCTCCTCCTTTACACTTTTATCCTTTTCCTTTTCCTTATTTTTATCTTTTTCTTTTTCCACATCTTTATCTGTTCCTTTATCTTTATCTTTATCTTTATCTTTATCTTTTTTTTGTCTTTATCTTTGTCTTTTCCTTTGTCTTTATTTTTGTCTTGTCTATTTTCATCTTTATCCTTGTCTCCTTTATCCTTGTCTCCTTTATCCTTCTCTCCTTTATCCTTGTCTCCTTTATCCTTGTCTCCTTTATCCTTCTCTCCTTTATCCTTCCTGTCTCCGGGCTCATCTTCTCGCTCACCACTTCTTCTGTCTACCTTTCGAACTTTTACTCCAGGCGTGTCATCGTCCTTTCGTTTATCAGGCTCACCAGAACGCCTTTCAATTTTTGGGGGTCCATATCCATCCCCAACTCTACCTCCACCCCACCTCCACCTCCACCTCCACCTCCACCTCCATCTCCATCCCTAGCTCCATCGCCGCCTCCTTGGAAGTCCTCTTCTTTGGGTTTCTTAGGCTTGCAGCATTTCTCGTAGTTCTGGCAATCTGGATCTGGAGAATCTTTCTGTTCGAAGCACTGAAGGAACCTTTCGTATAGCTCGTCATAGTTCCTTGGCTCCCGATTGATCTGCTCCTTTTGTGCCTCAAGCCAATCCCGAAATTCGTTGTTATAGGGACGAGGATCTAGCTTGTACTTGGCCCACTCGTATTGAGTGCATTTATTTCCAGGTTTCTCGCAATCCATGGGACAGTACCAGTGGCGACGACGACGACGACCAAAAGAGCCCTTCCTGTGTTTGGTTACCATGTCAAGGGCTTGTTTTCTAGATATCACAGCACCAAATTGTCTAGTCACTCCAAAGGGATCACTGGGATCGGGAGGATTGGTGCAATATACATCCTCAAAGGCTTTCCGAGGATCCAACTGCTGCTGCACACGAGGCATTTGCTGGAGCTCCGACTCTAGGGCTTGACGGTTCAAAATAAAAGGCTTACAAATCTGAGAAGTAAGTAAACTGCAGGCAGGATTTATCTTTACGGGTGCGGATGAAGACTTTTTGAGACTTCTCCGCGGAATGCCACCGCCGCTGACCTTGACCAGGCAGGCGGCCAGCAGCTGGTTGAACTTCACTGACTCGGGCTGATGGGCAGTCAACCCAACGCCATAGAAGCTCAATGTGTCCTTGTGGGGGCTTTGATGCCAAGCGAGCAGTCCATCGTCCTTGATCATGACGATGGGTCGACCACAGCCATCAGACTGAGGGGCGTTGGCCAACTCGTTAATGGCCACATCCTTGCTGGCATCGCAACGCGATATCCATGGTCGGATCGATGGATAAATCTCCGTCTGATGGAAGCGATATTCGTGGCAGTTGCGTCGACTTTTTTGTGGATCATTATTCTCCTGGCAAGCGGAGTCGCGCCGCTGCAACGTTCCCTTGCTCATTTCCGATTTGATCGGATGTGAATACTCTTAATTTTCTTTCACAGATCGAATTTTTGTTTGTTTACTTTTTTTTATGATAAAAGACCCGAGTGCCGGGGTTTGAGAGCTAAAGCTAAGACTCACTGATTAAATTTTTTTTTTAAAAATTTTGTTTTAAGGAGGAAATTGCTATCAAAATGTGGCACAAATGAAAGAAAATAAAACTCTTTTAGGTCCCTTTTGGAATACAAACATCTTATGCTGTGCTTGGCAACAAAATGACGCATCCCAGGCCAGTGAAAATCAACTTACAGCAACCTAATCCATGTCACTTTTAAAATTTGCTTACCCAGAGGATGGCAGGCTTTAGCATCCAGCCAAATGAACCTCAATTAAAGTTTGCACACTTTAGTTTGCTGTCCCAGTTTCAGGCCGCAGTGCTTCCCCCCCCAAATCGAGTCATGTTAGCCATACAATTTCCTGCCCATTGCCACATAAATTCGCACACGAAAGAGCCTGACAAGGCTGTGCTATTTATGGAGCAGTTCCTGTTAAACCAAAAAAGGGAAAAATACTACAGGCACAAAAAGCCAAAGTCAGCTGCTTTTAGTACTGGTGGTTGGATGTGTTACCCGTACGTACATACATATATATATATAGTATAGAGAGAGAGAGAGCGAGGCATAAATCCAAAATTGTCTTTTGTCGCATAAATATTTTACTTTGGGCCTTTAGAGCAGCCTGGCAACCGGAGAAGCAGCAGCAAGGACACTGCCATAGACAATAGGCCAAGCTGGAATAGGACATGAAACGACATTATTTCTTATTATTAGAACAGCGCAAATAAATGAGACTCGGAAGGCTGATGGAGGGCAGTTCCGGGACCCAGCCCAACCCCACTTTGTTTGTCCTGCCAGCACCGCAATTCCCACATGTCTGTCTTCATAAATGCTTTATCTCCGGCCAGCACACACGGAGGCTCAGTTTGTTGGCTTTTGTAATTATGTGCATATAATAAAGTTGACCTAAATAAAAATAAGCGTTGACTTTAGCGCGTTAAATAAAAGCCAATGGCTGGCCGGGCGGACAATAATAATAAGGGGGGTTATATTGGCCATAAGTACAATAGTCATATTGTGTTTATGCTGTTCCAGCGATCTGGGCAGTTCATTAAATGATAAGCCATCGACATCTGGCCCAAAACAATTGGGGGATCAGCGGCAATGCAATTTCAGACCAGTTTGGAAAACAATCACTGGTAATTGGGGGGAGGGCTTTAAAAGGGGGCGTGCTGCGTGTAGCAAGATGTCAACATGTAAATAATCATAATTGATGAAGGAGTTGAGTGAGTTTACAGGCATTTACGGAGGATATCTGCAAGAGAGAGATGCGTTGTCTCCTTGGCAAATTTATTGCCTCAATATATTAGAAGACCCTTCTCGCATTCTCATGAGCTTGCGGCAGAAATATAAATTCATAAATTCAGCATAAAATGGCACTCCTCGCATATGCTCACGCTCGGCACTCGCGAATTTGATTCTTTTTCTGCTGAGTATGCTTCGGCGTTAGCCGTTAAATGCGATGAATCAACTGTTGGCCATCATAAACAATCTTTGGCTCAGTTTTCCTTTGCAGTCTTCTCCCTTTCGCTCTTGCCTCTCCGCTCATAAAACGTCAGACGGCGGATGGCAAGCGGAAATTTATGCTCGCCATTTTGCAGCGGACATGTTTGTACTTGCCATGCCACAAGTGTGTTGGTGTGCCTTCGCTAGCTGGCTGGTGTGCGTATATTTGACTTCCTGTTGACGTGCAAGATGGCCGAAAAAAGGAGCAGGGACCACTAAAAAGCCGGGAAAGCTTCCAAATTGCCGAGGAAATAGCTCAAAGTGGATTTTTTTTGGATAGAGATCAATTATTAATCCTCATTATACGAGTATATCATTACAGATAGAAAACTTTAAAACTTTATTAATAAATAAACTTTAAAACCCATAACTTATGAAGTATCATCAGGCAGTATCCTCACATAACCTTTCTTAGTTCCCATCTCCTCGCTTAAAATTATAATTTTCTTATTCCTAAAGTTCCGAAACTTGATTCTAGGCCCTCTAATCCTCGGGAATGCAGACTTTTGACTGCCTGTTATTTGCATTTTCTACCAATTTCTTGTCTTCTTTCTTTCCAAGAGCACTCAGTGTCTTTTTGACATTGCGCATTTGACAAAAATGTGGCCAATAAAAGTGGCAACTGCTTGTGGAGAACATCAAAGACGGCAACGACAAATAAGAAAAAAAAAACTGAAGAAAATATTAAGAAAAAAAGTAAAAAGTAAGACAGAGGAAGACAAGATAATTGATTGTTTGATTCAATCGCAAAGTCAAATGCTTTTTTCGGAGCTGGTACAAAATGGTTTTTGGATGATTGCGTAAGCGACAAAGGAAACGCATCGAGCATTGAAAATTGGTTACAAATTCTGATTAGAAACGCCAGGAAAACAGACAGAGGTAAAACCTGGCCAAAAAAAGGGAATAAATACAAGCAGAAGACAAATTGGGCGTCACTCTGGCCTGTTGGTGGGTGTGGCAGTTGTACAAATTGAATTGTATTCGGTTGGAGGGCATTGATAAGACAAAGCAATCAGTCAGTCAGTCAGGAAGTTTGAAAACTGGCCAAAATTAGAGGAAAAAGAGGAAGAGAGTGTGCAAAATAAATGTTGGCAGGCATCGAAAGAAGATATAATTGGTAAAGTGATCGATTAGCAGTTTAAAATGAGTTATAGGAAGCAAGTTTCCAGATCAATTTACAATTTTAAGTGAGGTTTTGTTAGGAGCTTGAGTATATAATATGTAAAAATGTAAACTAATCTGAATAATCAATCAAAAGTGGAATAATAGTGCACATCTATTAACCAATATCCCAACATGATTGACACTTACTTATCGCACTTACAGGTTAAACTCATCGCACTTTTCCGCTCGATATAGCAGATCACATTATCCCTCCCCCTCTTGAAAACATTACTTGTGGACGTTCCCGAAAGCCAACCAGAACTGAAACCGCATTTGCATTACATTTCATCATTTTAGCAATTTTGAGTTCTCAATCAATTTGCCGCAAAAAGTATTCGTTCATTCGCAATTTTGCATTTTGCCAATTACAGTATAGCTGATTGGATTGTTGCCAATCTTTTTCTGATTGTTTTTTTCATCGTTTCGTTTTTTTTTTTTAATTTTTACATCACAGCGCTTCATCAGCATGTGTGAGTATGTAAGTGTCTCTTTCAGTCCTTGCCTGGCATTCCTTGTGCAACTCAATTAAATCGAACTGCAATCATATTCACCTGCATCCGTTTCCGCTTCATGCCCCACCACATTGTTTCAGCTCCCTCCATGGCCGGTGCCTGGGAATGTATCTTTAAAATTCGAATTCATATTACAGATTACAAATTCGCAGCATGTTTGTCATTCCAGAGTTTTGTTGTTGCTGTCGCTGCTGCCAATTTTCGGTTGTTTTATTTATTTTTTTTTCTGAATTTCCAATTCCCACCCCCTGTGGTGCTTTTCCTTTCCTTTTTTTTTTGTTGGTCCTGCACGGCCATTTTTAATTGCGTGGCATTGTTGCTGGTTTTGTTGGCTGTTCCTTATATATACTCTACATATATATATATATATATATAGATTTCGACGTCAGACTGATGTTTGTGTACGAAGCAATGTCCTTTATTTGATTTCAGTTTCATTTCGAAAATTTGTAATGCGCCTCGTGTAGCGACGGTTCCTGTTCCGTGCCTGTTCCGCTGTCTGCCCGTCGAAGGATAATGAAACTATGCGCTTGTCGCCATTCCGTTTGTTTTACACGCCCACCCCCCCCCCGAAACTCTCCCACTGCGAAATTCAAAAGGTTGGGCAGGCGAGCTAAAGTGCGTCCTCGACTTGTACAGCCCGACATGTGATTGGGACTAGTCGGTTGCCCATCAAAACGTGTGCCCACTGTACGTGGTTTTCGCTTTTTCCTTTCGACCACGCTGTCATCATCATCAGCAGCTGGGTATCCTGGTTGTCCTGGCTTGAATTTTAGTTCGCTCCCACTGCTGCGGTCCGTCTGTGGCATTTCAATTTCAATTTTAATGCCAGCTACAAAAAGGCGCAAATAAAACGTACGAAATCATTATTCCTCACTATTTGCTCAAGGTGTTCTGTAGTGATTGGAAGGAGGCGAGTGCATCAAGGGATTACCCGAAAAATTGGGAAATATATTATGGAAAATTCGGTTCAGCAGGCTTCACGAGAAAATCCCACAAAAACATGATTTTTGAGGTAGAAAAAGCAGAGGAAATATATTGGTAATCAGTACTCACGTTTCCCATCAAGATAATAAACATTTTTTTAAATTAAATAAATAACAACAACATAACAAATAAATAATTTACTATCTTTATGGCCAAGAATTATCAATTAAAAGGTTTATTAGCCATATTGCCAATGCCCAGAACCAATTTGATATTTATGAAGCTAAAATGTTTGGATACGCATCAAGAAATATTGTCGGGGGCTCATTTATAAATGTGTCACAACAAATTGTTTTCCCAGAGATGAGGGAAATTGGTGAGAAGAACCGCAGGGGGGCGGACTGAAATGAAATGCAATGGCAGAGTGGACAGTGATCGAGCGATGTCAAGCTGTGAAATATGCAAAGAATATGAAAAGGGGAAAAATTATTCGAATACCTAATGAAGCGACAAATAAAGAAATTAACTTGAATATTCCCACTGGGCATAACAAAAGCCAAGAATTTCTTCAACAATCTCCTCAAATTAAAGCTAAGATAGAGTTAATATTGTGTATACGACACGCTGGCTGAGTTGAACTTAAAACATTTTTGCAATTCGCCGAACTGACAATTCGATTAAGTTTGGCATAATTGTTGTGCTGTGAGTGCTACAATTATCAGAATATTAAATCGCTTTTTATCGTTGCCCAACTATCAGCGTATTAAAATGTCAATTAAATTGAACATATCTTCCTGTCCAGCCCCCGACGACCCTTCCCCTGGCTTCCTGTTTGCCTTCAGGTGGATTTGAATTAATGCGCAACATTTTGTATGTGATTTATTTGTTTGGTTTCAGTT